AGCGCCGGGCTTGTCAGAACTGTCAAAAGTATGTGGAAAAAGTGAAAACTGAGAAACCGTTTTTTTTGGCCCCAGCCAAAGGGTCAGATTTTCGGGTTTTCCGGGACAAGTGGATTTTCACCAAAATCGAATTTGTTAGCCGGGTGAACGTTGATTTCAACTATTTAAGCGACGGGCTATTCAGAACTATCAAAAGTATGTGGAAAAAGTGAAAAATGAAAAAAAAATTTTTTCACCGGAGGCCAAAGTGTCGGATCTTGGATTTTTCCGGGGGGAAAGTCGGTCCAAGGGTCACAAGGATCGCAAGGGTCAAAGTGTCAGATCTTGGATTTTTTTGCCAAAATCGAATTTTTTAGCCGGGTGAACGTTGATTCCAACTATTTAAGCGCCGGGCTTATCAGAACTGTCAAAAGTATGTGGAAAAAGTGAAAACTGAGAAACCGTTTTTTTTGGCCCCAGCCAAAGGGTCAGATTTTCGGGTTTTCCGGGACAAGTGGATTTTCGCCAAAATCGAATTTTTTAGCCGGGTGAACGTTGATTCCAACTATTTAAGCGACGGGCTATTCAGAACTATCAAAAGTATGTGGAAAAAGTGAAAAATGAAAAAAAAAATTTTTCACCGGAGGCCAAAGTGTCGGATCTTGGATTTTTCCGGGGGGAAAGTCGGTCCAAGGGTCACAAGGGTCAAAGTGTCAGATCTTGGATTTTTCGCCAAAATCGAATTTTTTAGCCGGGTGAACGTTGATTCCAACTATTTAAGCGACGGGCTATTCAGAACTATCAAAAGTATGTGGAAAAAGTGAAAAATGAAAAAAAAAATTTTTCACCGGAGGCCAAAGTGTCGGATCTTGGATTTTTCCGGGGGGAAAGTCGGTCCAAGGGTCACAAGGGTCAAAGTGTCAGATCTTGGATTTTTCGCCAAAATCGAATTTTTTAGCCGGGTGAACGTTGATTCCAACTATTTAAGCGACGGGCTTTTCAGAACTATCAAAAGTATGTGGAAAAAGTGAAAAATGAAAAAAAAATTTTTTCACCGGAGGCCAAAGTGTCGGATCTTGGATTTTTCCGGGGGGAAAGTCGGTCCAAGGGTCACAAGGGTCAAAGTGTCAGATCTTGGATTTTTCGCCAAAATCGAATTTTTTAGCCGGGTGAACGTTGATTCCAACTATTTAAGCGACGGGCTATTCAGAACTATCAAAAGTATGTGGAAAAAGTGAAAAATGAAAAAAAAAATTTTTCACCGGAGGCCAAAGTGTCGGATCTTGGATTTTTCCGGGGGGAAAGTCGGTCCAAGGGTCACAAGGGTCAAAGTGTCAGATCTTGGATTTTTCGCCAAAATCGAATTTTTTAGCCGGGTGAACGTTGATTCCAACTATTTAAGCGACGGGCTATTCAGAACTATCAAAAGTATGTGGAAAAAGTGAAAAATGAAAAAAAAAATTTTTCACCGGAGGCCAAAGTGTCGGATCTTGGATTTTTCCGGGGGGAAAGTCGGTCCAAGGGTCACAAGGGTCAAAGTGTCAGATCTTGGATTTTTCGCCAAAATCGAATTTTTTAGCCGGGTGAACGTTGATTCCAACTATTTAAGCGACGGGCTAGTCAGAACTATCAAAAGTATGTGGAAAAAGTGAAAACTGAAAAAAAAAATTTTTCACCGGAGGCCAAAGTGTCGGATCTTGGATTTTTCCGGGGGGAAAGTCGGTCCAAGGGTCACAAGGGTCAAAGTGTCAGATCTTGGATTTTTCGCCAAAATCGAATTTTTTAGCCGGGTGAACGTTGATTCCAACTATTTAAGCGACGGGCTATTCAGAACTATCAAAAGTATGTGGAAAAAGTGAAAAATGAAAAAAAAAAATTTCTCACCGGAGGCCAAAGTGTCGGATCTTGGATTTTTCGGATCTCGGAAGCAAATCGAAGAAGAGTTAAAAACGAGACAAGTGCAAAGGGTCTGATCCCCTTCGTGTTAACAGATCAAATATCCAGAGAACTTGGAAATTGATGAAATGGAAGTCAAAGTTAGATGGAATTTCCCGTAAGTGATAAATAAATTTCAATAAAACATCCGAATTCGAAATGCTCTTGTGATTTCAGAAGCTCAACCATGTGACAAGATTCGCACGAGTCTTCATGAATATATTGATGCTCCGAAGAAAGTGAGAAACAATGGCAAAGTATACTGGAATCATGTCGTGCAGGCGATTGAATAGAACGTAGACCTCTGGCATTGTTACACAGACGTAACTATCGTTGAAGAGATGTATAACCAGGTGATGCGTAAATACAATGAACTTGAGGAGGTGGTCGCAGTAATTCTGCAGCAATTGGTACAGTAACAGATCCAGGTATAAGCGCATCGTGTGTACAGGGTGTGGAGAACGTGAGGATAAATGCATTCTACCGGCATCCCCCAGTTTGATTCTAGGGAGAGACAACACTGGTTGAAGGAGACGATGTGAACAAGAGAGGGCTGACTGGGGGAAGAGGGGATGGTTAAAGTGCAGAGAGACAGCATAGTCGAGGAGATGCGGAATGGTACGGTTAGTGCATAGACTGTGAGCTGATTCCCATTGTAGATGATGTATGCACTCACGGATATATTTGGTTGAGTAAGCATGAGTGTTGGTGTTGCTAACAAGTGCTAAGTGCTGCAATAGCATCTAGGGCGCCTCTTACATTGAATTACTGGATATATACGGAGGTGCTGTGCTCTTAAACTGATTAGTGATGCGATTCAATCTTCAATAGTGATGGATTGGAGATTCTTGATTGAGGAAAAGCTGTCATCGCAGATGAGACTTTTGGAACTTGTGATTGTGGAGGAAGAATTAGTCTTCCCGGGTGGAAATCCGGCCTGCATCGGCGGGATTCGCACTGCGAGTATCAAGTTCTGAATTACTATTTTTCCAAGTTTTGATAGTTCTGTCATTAACGCTGGAGGTTATGGAAACTTCTCTATTCCCGCTCATGGACTCCCACCCATGTCGCTTCTCATGTCTGTGAGAAGACCAATAAGGGGATCAACCCTCTGACTATCGCTGCAATATGTAATCTCGCACGACAAACCAGCAGTGAGTCGATCGCGAAATTGGATTTCTAAGGGAGACCGGGCCAAATGAGACCCCTGTAAAATTTGAGATTCTAGACAAATGATTGATTTTTCTACAGTTACTAATGAAATACCCCATTGTTAGTGGATTTGAAGTGTAAATATTACTCAGATTTCAAAGATTGGAATCTGAAAAAATTTTAAACGGAAGTTAATAAGAATAGAAGGATTCTGGTTAAGTTAGCATTCAATTTTTACTCTTGTATTATTGATAATAATTAATTAATAAATGCCACAATAACCATGACTATGACGAGATTTGATCCTCGTGAGGTAAAACAGGAGAGGCTCTTAATTATTTCACTCGATTTGTGATCAATCGGCCCTTGCCCTTAAAATTTCAAGGACAGCCGACGGTAAATGTTATTATTTATTCAATATTCAATGGAAGTTGAAATCGTCCAGAAACTAACCCCCGTCCAGAAATTGACCTGTTTACCCTAATAGAGTTTTTACTACTGGAAAAAATCGAAAAATGCCAATTTTCGATAAAAATTTGAAAAAAATCTTATTTTGAGTGCATTAAATTATTTAAATTAAAAATCAATGATCAACAATAACAAAAGTGATTGATCCATCCCCAGCAAGGAAAAATATCCGCAAAACGCCATGCGATCGCGACATGATAGCGGCATGTACCTGCAACAACTCGCAATATCCCACCCGTCTTTTTTATTACAATGTGCAAAGACTGACAGATGGAAAAAAATACAGCGGTGAATCGTGAAAAATTGAAATAGTCCAAAGTATTGACAAAAAGTTCTCTTGAGCGTTGATATCGACAGACACGAGAGGCTGCTCGACAGATATAAAAGGACCAGTACAAGCGAGAAAAACCTTGCCGTTGATATTTCATTCCTGCCGAATCCTTCCGTTCTCTATCCACTATCCCCTTAAACCTTGAGGCTATGACCTAACCCCCCCTCATCCTTTCCCAACTGTGCCTTTATGAATACGCAATTGAGATCGCAACTCCCAGTTGTGGATAGAGAGGGAGCGGGGCTTTTTGACGCACTTCCTCCTGGAAAACATATCCTGGAGCATTTCAATTCGATCCTCCTCATCTCCCCACAGCACTTCGGGGCATTCGATAAAAATCTCATTGCACTTTTAGTAGATTTCGTTAGGTTCTTTTCGCTATCTCAATACTCAATCCACTTTTCGAAACATTGATGACTTTAAGAGGAAATGGAGGGAATTAACAGCTTTTCATCAAGCCTCAACATCAGCTTCTTTTCAATTTCGTAGGAGAGTCCGGGGCAAAATAGACAGCGGGGTAAAATGAGACCCCTCTTTTTTTGTTTTTCAATGAGACAAATGAGTCCAGTGTTTTTTTCGATGTCACGTTGTTTAACAGATCACATAAGTAGGAAAATAAGTTTTCGAATAAAAAAAAGGAACTTCTATCTAAGGCAGTCTCTAATCATCGTTATGAGCAATATTCTAATTTTTACGGGAATGAGAAAATTTTTTGTCTCATGCGGAGGTAAATGTTAAGAAAGAGGGCCCCACCACCGATCTCTTTCTTAACATTTACCTGGATATTTAACAAATAAAAAAATATGGCCCAGTCGTCCGGAAATTAGGGGTTTCGGATGCATTCAACAATTTTTTAATTTAATTATTCTTTGTTTTGTTATTTTCACTTCAAATAATTTTCTTCTGCTAATAAAATATTCTTGAAGGTATGGAAGCCATCATGTCACCATTTAGGTGATTCTTTTATTTTAGATCCTACCACGAAACTCGAATTTCCCTCTACTATTCATATTGAGATAAAAATTAATGAAAGTGAGGAACGGTAAGGTTTTAGACCCTACCCACCCTTAAAATTGCGACGAATATAGAACTCTAAAGAACCCAATTCTGTCTGAAATTTGGAATTAGAACTTACCGTTGGGTGGAAACTCATAGAAGAACGCTGATCTCGGGCTCAGGCAACTGTAACAAAAATGTTAAAGAAGCATGACAAACGATGACACGAAAATTGAAAGTAAAAAGCAGTTTCCGTTGCAATTCCGCATGTTACCGTTCATTTGAAAAACTATTTTAGCAAAACGTTTGGATTTAATGAACGATCTGGGGCAATGATAGTGGAAAATTTGAGTATCGACGCCTCGTTATTGGGACACTCAATATCCAGCTTTAGCGAGGGGAGAATAGCCGGAACGATATCGTAAACGTTATGTACTTATACATAGTCGATGAAGTAATTCTGGTTGATGGAATGAACTGCATGGAAACTTGGTGGTCGTTTGCGTTTAATACAGGCATTACTGATTCGGTGGGCTGACGATGATAACAACTCGCTTACTGCTTCGTTGTTATCAATGGTGATGGATGCTTCACTAAGTGTGGAGTTATCGGAATAGAGGAAAATTATCAATGGGTCTAGTTGAAGATCAGTGGAAGATTGATAGGGCAATGTATTCCATTTCTCAATGAAATATTGATTAGCTGTATGAACAAGTCGAGAATGAGCCCCCAGAGGGGAAAATAATCGATAAAATGACGATGTGTGGCTTTTATATTAAACAAATGCCTGAAGTATCACTATAATTGAAAAAAAACAACAAAACTTGAGAACAACCTGAATGAAATTATTTGTAACTCCGGAGTACCGTAACGCGTTGCAACACATGGCTGGATGATTCTTGGGCATTCTTAGCTGCCTCTGCAGCTTCGAGACTATCAAAATATCCCAAGAATAATGTACACAAGCAGTGAGCATCAAAGCGTGAGAACCCATTGGTTCAGAATTTCTAATAGATGTAGAGGCTTCACACAATTCCAATACAGCGGTCTACACCTAACCGCATACTAATGGAATCCTTTGAGGAAAAGCTAACATCTCAATGATTGAGCGCACGAGTGATGTGCACTCACTTCATTGCGATTAGAGACGATTGCCTCAAGTGCTGCATGTTCAAGTGAATTCATGATCAATTCAAATGTACCTAGGACTCTATTCCGATGCAGTGAATTAGACGAACGTTTTCTCGTCTTAAAAAAAAGCAATGATTCAGACCTTGTCAGTACCAGTGAAACCCATGACTCGAAATCATGATGATGGAGTGACTCGCAAGCACCACTTCGCCGACACATTGATCAACAGCATTGACGGCATCAAAACACCACCGATAATTGGGCATCAATACGACTATCCGATGCTTTGACGTCATCCACTGTCCCAGTAGCGACAACACAGGGCATATCGAATGATCCCCGAGTTTAATCAAAATCCCGTGGTCCACTGTTCTGAACAGTTACGAAATCCCAGCATTTACCGAATCAACCGAGAACAATAGGGTACCCTCTCCGTGCAATTAATTGTGTTCTGGTGATTGTTGCGTCACATACATAACATACGATATGGTTTCTACACCAGTGAGCGAGACCGACGACATCGAGGTTTGTCTTTTCCCCACTCAGGCCAAATCTCCGTCATCGGTTGGATACACAAAATCTATTTACCGATACTCTGAGTATGTAGGCAATATACCAGAAGGGGAGAATTAGCTGGAGTTTGGTGTACGTGTCCTACTTGAAATATCTGCATAGTCTGAGCTGTAAATTGCCAACTGGCTCAACTATGTGCACAGCACTAGGAATTCGAGGATGTGCAGTGATCGATGGATGCACGTATTGACAAGTGCAGAGATGTCAGATGAGATGTAGATCCCATTCATAATGGAGCTATGTGATAATGAGGTAAACTTCTGAGTCCAATAATAACGATGTTAGAAATTGTGTCAGGTGAGTTGATGGTGTAAGATTTTGTTGATTCTACCCGAGCTTCTTGGGAGGGTTGTTAGAACCGTTGCTGCTTCAATTAACCTTTAAGTATAAAACGACTGGTAGACAACACTGCAGATGGTGTTACGGGATCGTTACAGGGGCAATGGGTAATTAGATATAATAAACCCACGCCTTCTTCCCTCCTTGCAAATGCAGGGGAACCGTTTTTGACCAACTCGACACTCTGGTGCTTTCCTTATTATTGGGATATGAAGCAAACGTGCTGCAAATGGCCTCCAATTTTCCGTTCAAATGGTGTAACGAATATTCACTGTTAAGGGCTGCTGTATCGTCTTCACTAATTTGGGAATATTCAGATAGCAGGGAGATGTGCTGCGTGTTGTGTTAATGGGGAACTAGTGAAAGTGGAATACAGCGAGACACACTGGTGTATTTACCTTTGGTATGTTTGATGATGTCCGGTAAGACCGATGGCGGGGTTTTGAGTGGCAAGGGCGAGTTTCTGTTGTCTCTGTTGGAGCATTTGGCGACCAAAGACACCATATCCAAAACCGTATATTTCGTCCTCTTCCTTGTCACTCAGGCAACTTGAAGGCTGAAACATGAAAGCGATTTTTTTTAAAATAGTAATAAGAGGATCGAGGGATATTGGAGAAATAATTACGACGTTGATTAAATTGTCATAGTGCGACGTTTCGCTAAAGTATTTTAGCTTCATCAGGCTCTTGACGGAAATCTACGCCTAGTCAAACTATTTCTAGAATCAATTGTGTCGGAGCGCATGGCAAGCAAATAAATAAATACACAACCACAATAAATAAACCAACTCTCAGTCAACAGTTAACCATACAGGATTTCCCAAATTCACGAAGGCAATTGCCTCCGTGAATCCCCTTATTATTAATTGAAATCATGGAGATGAGAACAACCATAGTTTTTTAAAATAATTGCCTTGTTGGAGTCATTGGGAGTTCTCAACTACTGGTGATGTTTGGAATGGATGAAAAAGGTCTTCAGTTACTTCTCAGGTACTAGTTAAGATAGATTACGACCCCAGTCGATAACAGATTAGTGATTGGAAACTCAATTAGTCGTGGGATGTCGGCTCATCGCTAGTAGCAAAACGACTAACAATATTCGTCTTAACCGCCAAGAAGTTAACACGATAGAACTTTACATTGTTAATCTTGTTAAATGCTATCCTTCGAATATCTTCAGAATTGGATTTCTCATTATGAGGGGGTGATGATTTACTGTTCCTCCCATGACTGATCTAATTAAGAGTGAAATTCAGAAGAGTAAAATATCTCGAGTCTGGCAAAATCGAAAAGTCTAAACACCCAAACACTATACCAGTTCCTATGTTCTTTGATAGCAATGAGGAGACTCTTCCAGAATGCCTGAAATGTCCCTGTGGGACAGACAGAAATTGTCTGAAAGGTATCGTTACTTTTTCTCCCTTTCATTCTTCCCTTCCTTTCTCTCCCATTTCTGTGGTATATAAAAGTTGAGACAGAAATGTTGCTTACCGAGTATTTTCCGGGTACGTAAATGGGTTGCGAATGACTGGTTGTGAGCTGAGTGTTAGGTATTCTTGGTGAGGCATTTGTTTCACGGCGTCGGAGCTCCTCGAGGGGCTCCAGGACATCACCGTAATGCGTTCTGAAGAGGTCTGCGTACCTTGACGCTAGTCCCTCCAAGTATCCCTGCTCACCCTCCTGCAAAGAGAAAAGAATAAAATGAAATTGAATCAGTCTGCGTGTTTCGAGTGATAAGACTGATTAACAGATATTCTTCTTCCTAGAACCGCGAGTCACTGGCTGTTACATAAGTCAATGATTGAATAACATTTAGAGGTAATGATGGCCTTATTTTGTCTCATCTAAAGCTGGGTATTGATCGCTGTCAATTTACGTTCACGCTATCCTCTCGTTTCAATCGCATTATGCAATAATGATGCTATCGAATATTCATAAAATTTGCGCTCGTTGCTTCGTCTTACTTAATTATAAAATCATCACAGTAATAATGGAATATTCTATGCAAATGTCTTCTGTTACACTCCTCTACCTTTCCAACGAAGCCTTCAAGAATAGTGGAAGAAAAAGTGATAGCAGAAAGGAAATGAAAAGTCACAAAAATGTACCTTACAATTCACCTCGGAGTCGTTCATTTTTACATAAAAGAAAACTCTCAACCTTTTCAATTCCCCTACCTCCTTTTTTAAGTATTAGAGTACATCTAGAATGCTTCTCGCAGACTTTAAACACAAATAAATGATGAATGGATGGAGAATGAAAATATAACGGTCCGGCGATGGAATAAGATGCTTGAGTCATTTTGACTTGACAATTCCTGGCCATTCCCACGTGTTTACGACTGTGTATATCATTTATTCTAATGTTCCTCCTTCACTGGAGAAAAATAATAAAAATGTAACGTAAAACTCGTACTATATTGCAGTGAATATAGAATAAAGGTAGTATGGAGGACTTTGTTGGTGAGGCGAGTGGTGGAAGTGTCACATTAATATTTCAGGATTTCCACTTGTGCACTTGTGCAGTCCCAAACTCAACAGCAGGACCTCGAAAAAGAGGGAAAAAAAGTGGAGTTTGGGAGAATGGAATGGGGTGGACTAGACGGTTCTCTCCTTTATGGGGTTTTGGACTTTGCATGAGCTACGTCGTTTTCGTATTTACACTTTAAGCACTTCCCATTTTCTTGTATTCTAAATGCATTCGGACACGGTTGTAGTCGCCGGCTGCTCTTTAAAGCACATATGCAAATGTTTGGATATTCTTGAGGAAATTGTTTATTCCAGGGATTTTTTTGGGGGGATAAGTGGATTAATTAAAACTCGATGTTTGGAGAAGGTTGATGGAAAATTATGTTGAATGCAATGAGGGGATTTGATGGATTGATATCAATGGGACAATGATGATGATTAGGATATTGATGTTGAGGGTCATGATGTTGATCATGATGTGAATCATGATGATCATGATATGGATCATAATATAAATCATAATGATCATGATCGAGATCATGATGTTGATCAAAATCATGATATTGATCATGACGTAATGTTGATCACGATGATAATTCTTCACACCTCGCATAAGAAGAAAAGCTCAATATACAATTTAATTTTCCTCCATCACCAAATTTGGTCGTTCCCTCGCCAAACAGATTTCATTATCTCCACTACCAACCCAATTCCCAATAATCACACATTGTTTTATATAATCGAGCTCTTGAATACGTCATGGCAAATGCTTCTCACTTCCCTGTCCCTCGTCTAGTAGGAAAATGAATAAAAAAAAAGTATCACCACTCCCTTTTCACCCAGAGGAGGCAATAGCCAAGTTAAGGCATGTGAAGGATAGTACGGTATGTATAGCGCCCGTGAGAGATCTTCATTACGATAATCTTTCAGTATGAAATTCCCAAGTCGTTTGAGTGAGACGTTAAGGAAGGCATCGGTGAATGCTAGGGCGGTAGGTAAAAGTGAACAGAACGAGGTCTTACCCGGGTACTCCTCATCTTATCGTACGATCCCGGTGGCTATTAATTAGAATTCCAATCTTTCGATTTAATATGCCTTTGGAGTTTTCAAGCTGAGAATATTCCGTTCCCCTTCGTTCTCTATCACAAAGTGAACATAACCACCTCGTTTCATTCTGTATTCATTGAATGACGACCTTTGATAAAACATAAAACTTTTGAACAGTAATATTGAAATAAAAAAATGACAAAAATTTCTGACGTCAAGTATTTCGATATTAAAATTTTTCATTAAAAATCGTCTCTTTTACACCTCAACAAATCCATCGTTAATTTCTTTTGTCGAATAAAAAGTAAAATGGACAAGTTATTGTCAGTCTTGAAAAATTTCTTTATGAGGCTATAATCGTGAGAAACTCATCTCCCATTAACCCCTGAGAAATGAAGAAAATAATTCTCTTAAAGGTTGAAAAACTTTTGTTTCAAAAGCCAACCGTCTCGACGCTAATGATATCGTGATGAAGATGAGGATTTTTAACCTCGAGTAATAATTTCGTAATCATATTTAGTTTTTTATTACTTTGATCATGGGGATGTACTTCGAGTACTTGAATAATTATTCATCGGGATAAACGCAGATGAAATAGAGCTCTCAGTTGGTAAATTTCATTGTTTTATTGTTCTGTTTCTCCATAAAGTCTCTAGCTAAGTTTGGGATACAATTTAACCCGCAGTGAGCATCTCTATTGCGAATTATTTTTTCCCCTACGTTTCTCTCTTTTTGCAAATGGCACCGCAGGAATAGCAACGCCAACTTATCCCTCCGCCTCTCACCTGCCAGTGCTCATTGATCTGTGGAACAGGTTTTTTGGGGGGAGGCGCGGAAGGGATATTGACAGGGATTGAAGTCAATAATTGAAAAGTTGAAGAAATAATTGAAAAGTCAGGATGAAATTCAACCGAATCATCGAGTTTTCCTTTTTTAGGTAATTGCCTCCGAAAAACCTAATTTTGATTTTTTTTGCACCAAATGCTGATATCTACACTGCTACAGAACTACTCTTCAAATTTCAAGTGCAAAAACTTGAAATTTTTATTAACGACAAAGTTATATGAAATTTCCGCATATCTCTTCCCTGACAAATCAGTTGATTTCTTGCATATTCTGGTTATTCATATTGAGAATAATCCTGGTTCCCCTCCTACCTCATCCAAATCCCATCCACTCATTTCCTATGATGTCACAAAGATGTGGAACGCTAGACGGAGAGTAATTTTCTAGAAAAATTCTAGTACGAGTACTGGAAAAAATCACAATCCACCGGCTGTGAAAAATTCTATTGCTGTTAAGGTAAAATTTCTTGGTATTTCTCTTTTCCCGTGCTAGCACTAGAATTTTTCTAGAAAATTTCTCTCCGTGTATATAAATTCCCTTATTTAATGTAAATAATTTAATGTTTTTTTTATTTAAAAAAAATTAGATTATTAAAATGGTTATTTCAAGGCTATTAAAATTCCCGCAAATTCATGAGCTATCAGTGGGAGTGCGATGAATTTTACAACTTGATTAAATTTTCAGTGGCACATGAATATTCAGAAACAAAATGACATGAATTTTCAATTGTTCCCTGAATTTTCCTGATTTTTTTGAATTTCCACAGAATAATTGACCTGAAAAATCAAGTATTTTATTGATTTCCAGATGATTTGAACAGAAAATCAATGGAGTATTTGATTTCTCAATGACAGGATTTCCTGAAATTCCAGTGGAACTTGAACACGATAAAAATTTCTGGAATTTAGAACGGAAAATACAGATAAAAATTTTTAACTGATTTTGAACTCGTTTGGGGCCTCGTATTTGATTTGGAAAATCTATTTCACCCGTACATATCCCCACATCATTTCAGACATAATGTCCATCTCTCTACACTTCTACCTCCTGATTACCCACCCCGGAATGTCTGTAGAAACGCAAAAAAAAATATACATATACAATTTCTTCAACATCTGAAGGGACCATTGAATCAATGTCAGGCAGTTGAGTTCCTCATTATTAAAAAAAAAAAATAATCATAGAAGTGAAAAGAAAAATGAATAAGCACCGCGGGGAGAATGTCGATGGGTGGATGGAAGAGAGGAAGCTTGAAAAGCCGTGGGTACGAAAAAATGAAAAAAAAAAATGGAAAAACTTGAGGCCGTTTTTTTTAACGCTTCACTTTATACAGGCTCCTCGGGATCTCTATAGACATGGTGTGCAAGGCACCTCTCCAAGGCGCAAACAAGTGGGTGTCTCGTGATAATTGGTCAGACGGTGGATGGGTTTACAAGGACGAGGGAATTATTTTCGGGTGGTCCTCTCCAAGGGGCGTTGCACCAATGTCCTCTGAGTCATTAGTGCACCTGAGGAGGTGCATACAATGGGGAATCAGGCTATTCTGTGGTTGGGAGAGAATTGTGAAGAAAACGGAAAAACAATCACTACACTAAAAAAAAAAAAGCTTTATTTTGAGACTTATTTATCGCAAATTGAGACTTTTTACAGTTTCAAGTTGAGACTTTCTAAAGTCACAAATTAAAACTTTGAAATGTCTCAAGTTGAGACTTTCAAAACTCCTCTTAAAGAAAAATTTCAAGGTGAGTTTCGGAAGTGTTAATGTGAGGTATTCAAAAGTATCAAAATGAGTTTGAAAGTCTCTACTTGAGACTGCGAGAGTCTCAAATTAAGACCTTCCAAAGTTTCAACATGCGACTTTCAAATGTCTCAAGTCTAGACTTTCAGAATTTCACTTAACGAACTTCTACAGTAAATTTTGGGGCTATGGAGTGGGGGAAAATATCGAAGGTTCCGACACTCCGCTGCATCCTTTGAAAAAAAAAGTAATGAAATGACGAAAACTTCACGGGTGTATTGAAATTTCGTCGTTTAGGTTTCTTTACACTTATGATTCGTGATTAATCAATTATAAATGATTTTTATTCCAAAATATTATTTGAGAGATTTGACAACCACGCATTTTTGTTCGACGCAGTTGGTATTTTTGTGTCCCGATAAAATCCTATACTGTACTATTGAATCCATAGTATATGCTTTGGCTGAGTTCACACGATGGCCTCCGTCGCGCGCACTCTAACTTCCCTCAACGTTGTCATGTTCAGTCATTAGTTTACTCTAACGTAACTAAAATCCCAAACTTTGCCAACATTTTCAATA